TTTAAATATATTGCTTGTATATTTAGTAGTTTTTGGGACATTACTTGCAGCTTTAATATAGTTGCCTATATAAATATTTTTTATTTTATATAGTATTTTTATAATACTAATATTATTAGTTCACGTTTATTTTCTTCTATATTATTCCATATTTTCTATATTATAATAAAGAAAAGAAAATGATTTTAGAAAATAATAATTATTAAAAATAACTTTATAAAATTATGATTTTATATGATCTATTTTTATTATTGTGTTATTAAATTTGTGTGTTGTTTCATGTTTGTGGTATATGCATTATATGTATACAGAGTCTCATTATTATATATGATAATTATGTAAGGTAATTTTTATGAATGTAACACTGATAATTTTAATCTATATTCTTATATTTTATATTTTTAATTTTATTATATTGTAATTTTTAAATAGAATAACTTTTTTTGATTCTATAGGCTGGTCTTGCTGGTGCCTTGGCTCAAATGACATTAGGTGAACCCAGAAGCTCTGAACAAATTGCATTAGAAGAACATATGCGGAAACAAAGTTGGGAACAAGGTCAAATAGACTATATGGGTCGAGATAGTTTTGATAATATTTGGAAAAAAATTTGTGAAACTCTTGCTCTTGCACCTCCACGATTACCATCTCCTCCTAAAGTAATTAATTGAGTAATAATAATAAATCAAAATAAAATTGGAAAATAAAATTTATTCAAAAATATATAATATATTATTATATATTATATATATTATATAATATATAATATATTATTCAAAAATATAATATATGATTTAGGAAATACAAAAGTCTGTCAAAACTACAATTGATGAAACTGATGAATTTATTAAATCTGCTGAAATTACTCAATTTATCAAGTCTACAGATGAAGTGGATAAAAGAACCGGTATGTATTATTTTTGTATTATTTCTTATAAATATTTTATGATTGCAAAAATTATTTAATTAAAAATAAAAAAAACAATTTTTAAAGTTAATAAATTTTTACTCTATAATAATTACAATTATTATATAAAAGTAGGAAGAATTCAAAATATTGGTTTCATACAATAAAATCTTGATAATGTAAACTATATACATATAAAATTAAAAATTAAAGTGCTCGTAAAGCCATTAATTAACTGTTTTTATAAAGATGCTTTGCACTTTTATTTTCTCCCTATTCCCTTTTAATACAGCATGTGGCATTCACACTCATGAAAATGGAGATTTTTTATAGGAATTTAATTTGAACACAATCAAATTGTATTTAATAATATATGCAAAATTTTGACATAATTTAAACAAATGAAACAATATGTTTTTTATACAGTTTATCAAGTTTAAGTGTTTGAAACAGGAACGGAGGACAGCAACTAACAGATCCTGGCGCCATAGCATTGCTACGTCTTGTAATGTCATTTTGCTTTAATGGGGTAAATATTTTGAGAACTCGCATCATCATAAATTCGCGAATTATAAATAAATTAAAAAAGTTTGTGATATATAACTAAACAAGCACATTTATATGTTAAAACTTGCATCATAAAAATTATATCATTTTATAATAAATCATATTTTTTATAATATTCTAATATTATATATGATTTTAATTCTTTAATTTATAAGTTAAAGAAATGTAAAACATAAAATTTTATGTTTATATAAATATAATTTTTTTCTTAAATTATTCTTTGAAAGATTATTTTAAATTCTTTAGAATAATTTATAAAAAATGTTTTGATTTTGTATTGCATATATGTGATTTATTTATATTAATAACAAAAGTACCTTAAGCTTGGTATATATTTAATATATAATATTGCACTAAAAATTAAAATAACAATTATGTGCATGATATTTTTATAACCTTTTTTTTTTATCATTGCATTTTTAAGCTTGTATGATGCAATAAAAATACTAATTTTATATTCCATATGCTTTAAATTAATTTAAAAAAATATCTGTTGTATTAAACAGCATTTTATAAGAGCACTTTTGCAATAACAGTTTCATTTATAATCATCTTTGTAGTAGAATTAAAATTATTTTTCAGATATATCTTATGTATTAAAAAAAATAACTAAACAGATAAAATATCATTTATAAATATCATATTTCTAATATTGCACATCATTTTTACGTTTATGTAGAATTCATTTTTATTAAATATCTTGTTAAGATAATAAAATTTAAATGTAAGCAAGAAATACATTAAATTGCATTTTTGTAAATTGTTATATATATGTAAATATAATATAATTTTTTTTTTATTTAGCTCAAACAAACAGTCATACTGAAGAATCTCTAGTTAATAATGTTCCTACCACAAATGTACCTAAATTATTGGAAAATCAAAAGAGTGAAGATGATATTTCAAGAAAATCACGAAATAATACATTTATAGATTTTCCTGCAACAAACCTTTCTGTACAAACATCTCATGAAGAAATAACAGAACTTAATACAACTGAATTATTAAATAAAATTTCACAACAGACTAGTGTACCTATAGTATCGTCTGATTTAAATCAATCTTGTTCAATTGGAGAACAGAAAATAATTATTTCAACAAAAGAATTAAAAAACAAATTACAGAATAAAGATCTTAAAATTACCACAGATATTCATCAAATGAATCAACCAGATATTAGAGATGAAAAATATGCAAAAGAATTATTAACTGCATCTGAAATTTTAACAGTTAGCCCTGTTCCGATTCAAGTTGCAGAATCTGTATTACAAATGGAACCAAAAGAATCTGTGTTAGATTCTCAAATAATATCGCAAGAAGTTCTTTCTTCTATAATTACACCAGTTCATTTAACAGAAACAGAAAATAAAATACATATTAATGATTCAATAGAGTTCATAGAAAGTAAAGAGAAATTAAATTTAGATAATATCACAAATGTAAAAAATATTGATGCTATCAATAAATTAAGCAAATTGTCAATAAAACCAAAAGAAATCTCATTGACAATAGAACAAATTCAACCTCAATTTGAAGAAGAAATACCTACATTATCTTCAAATAACTTTGAAATACCAGAGAAATTAATGCAAAAACAAACAGAACAACAAAGAAAAACAAGTGAATATTGTATAAAAGAAGCAATGAAATTAAATAAAACAGAATCAGAATATGAAACAAATAAAACATTAAACAAAACTCCAGTTAGACCTTTAAGAATAAAAGAATTAAATTCTTCACCTTCAACAAGTATTAAAGAAACTGGACAATTTGATTCAACAAGTCAAAAGAATTAATAAAAAAGATAAAAAAATCTACAGAAAAATCAGTATCAATAGGAGAACATGTAGAAGCAATTGATGATGATACTGAAAAAAAAATAACAAAGAAGATAGTAAAAAAGAAAAAATTAAAATCAGAAGAAGGACTAGATGATAATATAGTAGACAGCAGTTCTTTTAATAAACAAAAAAAGACTTTAAAAAGTTGTTAAAAAAAGGTATAAAATCATCACAAAAAACTTCTACTGATGCTACTATTTCTGAAATTCCAACATCTAGCACTTCTGATTTAACTCCAGTTCCACCTAAAAGAAAAGTGAAAACTATAGCTGCAAAATTGGTTATTAAAAAATCAGATATAGAATAGTAATTATATCATAAAAACTGACAATAATTATTTAAATACTTTATATGAAAGTTTAACAACTCTAGAAATTATAAAAAGAATGAAAGGTGATACTCACTAGTCTTTTCTAATTTTTTATATTTTTAATATATTCTAAATAGTATCACCTACAGATTTGATATTTGTTTGAATATTTTGAAATTTTGTTAAATATTATATTTTAATATAATATTTTGTTTCGTAATTTATATATATTTTATTACATTACATATGTCCTTTTTTTAATTATATGTCAGTACTAAATAAAACTTTTTTATATTACTTCCCTATCTATTTGTTTACATATATTGAAATGAAATTAATACAATTGAAGAAATAATTTTTTGTATAATTATTATAATAATATTATTTTAATGTGTTTTAACTAATTTTTTACTCATATATTAGCTTCAACTTATTTAGTAACGTATGTATGAGTAGCTGTGATTGATTAACTTAAAATATATATTATTTTAATAAAAGTGCACAAAAAATATCTTTACAAAACAATTTGTCAAAAAATGTTATAAAAAATAATTATATATTTATACATTTTATATGTATCAATTTGTATCTATATTTATACATATACACGTAACATATATAATATGCAATCATTTTATCATCATATAAATTTTTAAAAAATTGTCAGACATTTGTGTTTAAATACATTTATTAAAATCAAAAGATATATAGTTTTATTTATTATCATTTAAAAATAATCTATTTTAATTTATAAACAAAATTTAATTTTACAATTAAATTTAAGTATATCAATATCACATCATATATATATAATATATATAATCATATCAATATATAATATCAATATATATAATATAATCAATATATATAAAACAGATTTTTTAAAAAATTATTTATAACAATTAAATTATTTTTTATTTTATCTAATTTTATGGTAAATAATGAAATTACATATTTTTTTATTTAATGCATTATTATATAGAAATGCTTAAAAAAAATATATTTCTTTGATTAATTTATAGATCCACTTTATTCAATATCAATTATAATTATATTAATTTCATTTTTTACTTTTTTTTTTAATTTTCCAAAAACACTTCGAACTCATTTCTGAAAATCTTTTATTAATATATCATAAAATAAAATAATTTTATTGATCAATTTAATATGATTAATTTAATTGATAATAATAAATATAATTATTATCATATATAATAATATATAATATAACATAGTTAATGAAAGTTGCAAGTTAAAATAAATTACAAATAATAATAATTTATATTAAAATACATTAATATTTTATACACATAAAATTTATTACGTATTTAAAATACTGGTTAGGGAATATACCCCTATTGTCAGATAACCCGCACAGCAGGCGCAAGCTTGCGCCGCAAGTAGATGCGATGCGAGTCTACAGCAGTCTCCATACAGTCTTAAGCAGTATGGTCGCTTGTACAGTTTTCTATGAGTGACAAGTAACGGTTTCTACATTAAGAAAACTTCGAATAATGATTTATCATAACTGAAGTGAACCGAAATTGGTGTAATGATCAAAGATATGGCTGATGATGAGGCCATACAGGCCACTAATGATGATGCAAGTGAATGTAAAAGATATGCTGTGCAACTTAGTTACTGGTCCGATCCATTTATCAACTTTTTCGTAAAACAAACTGGTCGAAAAGCACCTGAAATCAATCGTGGTTACTATGCGAGAGTAAAAGGAATTGAGGTGTTCGTTGACAAATTCCTTAAGGTATGTACTTAGTTTTTTTTCCTTTAGATTTCATTTTTGCATCTTCAAAATTGGCATAACCTAGAACATGATAGAAACAATCCGGGATACAGCTGATTTGAGTAGCAAAGGACATGCAATGCCGGAAACCTTGACCTGGCCGAGGCCCTGTCCTAATTTCCGAAGTCCTCCTTTTATCACGAAACAATAAAATAGGTCAATCTTAAATATACATTGGATATTTTGCATAGAAATGACAAACAATTGAAAATGCACTATACTTTTTAAATGATTTTTAGAATTTTTTTAATTAACAAAAAATGAAAAAAATGTTATATTTCAAATATAATGATCAAATAAAATTGAAGCTAATGTATATATACTTTCATATTATTATTTATAAATTTTTATAATTGCTAATTTACATAAAAAGAAAGAATGCATCAAAATATAAAATAAATTTTATATTTATTATTTTAATTTGATATTTAAATAAAAATAAATATATAAATAAATTTATTTATTTAAAATGTAAATAAAATTAATTTGTGATAAATATAGTTATCTGGTGAAGAAGGACAAATTATAAACTTGGGTGCTGGATTTGATACACTTTATTGGAGACTTAAGGAAACAGGAAAGAGTCCAGCAAATTTTATAGAACTTGATTTTCCTAGCATTACTGCTAGAAAATGTTATCACATCAAAAAACATAAACAATTGATAGATATGTTAAATACAGAAGGTACATAATTATAGCATTAAATTCTAATTAATTCTATAATTTTTCTATCTTTGTGCATAAATTTTTATTAATTAAAATTTATTTTGCAGATGGAGAAATTAGGTTTTCAACAACAGATCTACATGCTGCTAATTATCATTTGGTGGGAATAGATCTGCGGCACATATCTGAACTTATTAATAAATTAACACAAGCAGAAGTTAATTTTAATCTTCCAACCATGTTCCTTGCAGAATGTGTTTTAGTGTACATAGACACTAGTGCAGCTTCTGCATTGTTAAAATGGCTTGCTGGAAAATTTCCAAATAGTATTTTTGTTAATTATGAACAAGTGAACATGAAAGATAAATTTGGTCAAGTTATGTTATCTAATTTACGTAGTCGTGGATGTTTGTTAGCAGGTGTAGAAGATTGTGAATCTTTGGAAACTCAACAAAGACGGTATATCTGCTTTTTTTTATATTTATTTTTTAGAAATAAGAATTTTTTAGAAGCAATAATTTATTATATAAAAAAATTATAATTATAATTATATAAAAAAATTATATAAATAAAATTATATATTTCAGCTTTATAATAAACAGTTGGGAAGGCTCTAATGCATGGACAATGGTAGAAGTCTATGATTCACTGCCTCAAGATGATCGTAGTCGAATCGAACATATAGAAATGTTGGATGAGCGAGAACTTTTAGTTCAATTATTGCAACATTATTGTATCTCAGTTGCTTGGAATGGACAAACATTTAAAAATTTGTCTATAGCACAGGGTTAGCTTTTCTAACTCTTGTAAGTTACTCCAGGTAGTGATACTGTGTCATTAAAAATCTTTAAGCTTGTAAGTACAATGTGGTAACTAATGATACAAAATCATTGTTTATTATTAAAATGAATAAGTTTTAATTATAAATTTATGGTATTATTATAATAATGTATTTGCTTTATGATAATATAGTTTTTTCTGTTATATAGATACTTCATATATCTTTAAAATATTGTGAAGAAATAATTTATATATAACTACATAATGATGACTTACAAAAATTAATTTTAATTAATTTTATTTGGTAATAATCTATAAATATTGTGACTATGATATTAAAATAGTATTATTGAAATTTTAAAATTCTTTTATATTTTTTGAGCAGCTAAATATAATCTAACATTAAAAAATACAAAGTTTCAATTGTATAATTTCTTTAATTTCTTAAAATTCTATTTTATACTTTCTGTAAAATTAATTTTCTAATTAAAACTAATTTCAGCATTAACAAATTTTGTTTTCCAATATTATTTACTACTTTGTACTTGGAAGCTTTTATATACTACATTTATAAATTTCCTATTAAATCATAACTTTAAATAATATTATAAATTATTGATTAGTTCTACTTATGCAGTTTCTTATGAAGATAATAGATACAACGAAAGAGTGATTTCACTTAAACATGAAAAAAAAATAATATACATTTTGAAAATTTATTTTTAAAACGTTCATTTTTAAAATATGTTTTATAAATGTTCATTTATATAATCAAAAAGATTTAATTAAAATAAAATTGTTTTACATTTACAAAATATAATCATTTAGATTATTAAAAAATGCAGAAAATTGCATTTTCATTGTCGTAAAAATATAATAAACAGATTATAAAAATGTAAAAAATAATAACATTATCCTGTCATAAAAGATCAACACATTAATTATATAATATTTAAGTCAATTTTATTCCAATGAATTCAAGTTGATTTATTAAATTATTAAGAACATTATTAAATATAATTTAATAAAATATGAATAATGTTTTCTAAAAAAAATTTCAGTTTGATATGAAAATCAAAATTAATACTAAAAAAGAAAATTTATGAAATAATCATGATATTAAAAAATTGTTATATTAATAATTAATCGTGAAATCGTTCTTTATTTCTATATTTTAATACATCGATTCTTATTTAATTTTAACTATTCTTTTTTTTTATTCGTGATATAATATATTTACTGATATTCTTATAAAGGCTTATTAGACCATAAGGTATAGTACATAGGAGAAACACACAAATATATTACAAATTGTGAATTCATGTTATGGAATTCATATGTTTTTAAAGATAAAATTACATACCTGGAGTAACACAAATATCAAGAAATAATCTAATATTCTATTTTTCTGAAAAGTTATGAATTACAGTTATATCTGTCCACAATGATAAATTCTTTCCAATTTCATGTTTTAACATTCAATAATAAAAATCATACCTCATCATAATAGTTTCATGCCATCTTATTTACGTTTGAATAATATTTATTATATGTGTTAAATATTTTAATAACTTAAAGTTTGAGATTCAAATTAATCATTAATTATCATAAATTGGAGAAAAACACTGCCAATGTATTGCAAAATTTTAATAACATATTTATTATTAAATCGTATTATTTATTTATAAAATCTTACATATTAAACAAAATAACAGGCATTATATTGTTTTGTTTTTAATTTTTATATGATCAAAATTAATCAATAATAATTTTGTTTCATTTTGTTTCAATATAAAAAAAGAATTGATGGTTTGATTCTCAAACTTAAGTACATTTTTCATAATATCAAGATATGCAATTTGTTTTTGCATGTACTTCATTTCACTTCACTTAATGTTATTAATGTCTTATATGGATGCTGTAAAAGTTAAATCATACAATGGCTATATTCTATGTGCTTCCATATTATAGACAGATAAAAAAATTGTCAAAAAATATATTCTTACCTTTGTGTAATGTTGTGATATTGTTAAATTGTGCATTTATATTACAATTAAATGAAAATAATCGAAGATTAATATTAATTATAAATTAAAATACCATAGTATTTTTTTTTGTATATGGATTATATAACATTTTGAAATGTATGATAAAAGAAAATTCTATATTTACATTTAATTTATTATATAAAGAACTACACAAGCTGTATACATTATTTTATTTCTTAAGCATTCAATTCACTATTTTGTGAGATTCAATGAAAAATAAACAGCATCTACTTTCATGTGTATATTTTTTATATAACAATTTATTTATAATATCTATTTCGTAAAAAATTTCTATTTTGTTACAAAATTATTAAATTTTAATATTATATCTTAATTCATATTGGAATATTTTACGGATTTAAAATTCATATATATTTAAAATTATTGTAATATTAATTATATTGTTTTAAGTAAATAATTTACAATTCTATGTTTATTGATTAGTTATTTAATTGATTTTATTATTAAAAGCCTAATGGATTTAATTGAACACATCCACCAACATCACACATATTCTTTGAAATTTTACTTAAATTATTAAATATATTCAATTTTTTATCAAATTTTAAATTATTATTCACACGATTAGTTGCCTATAATAAAATAATACTTATTAAAAATAAAAATAAATTGAAATTAATTTTTAAATTTAAGTATATTTACTTCATTGCACCAAGTTTCTGCCATAAGAAGTTCATGTTCCATATTTGGAAGATTTTTGTTTGCAGATGTAGATGCCCTGCTTAATATAATAGCCATAGTATATATATCAAATGCTGCTTGAGCTAGTCTGTTAAGAATAAATTGTTGCTCCACAATATTTCTTGGTCCATATTTAATAATAGCACCTTCTACAGCTTGACCAAAAGCTTCTATGCTCTATAAATGATTATTTATAAATTAATAATTAATTATTAATATTGATTATTATAAACTAATATAAACCTTAGCACATAATGTAGCACTATTGTGTAATCTGGGATGAACTAATTGAATAAGACTACGTGTTGATGAAAATCCAATTGTTCGCATTGCTCTTTTGCTTAATTCTTCAAATATTAATCCTAAATTAATAGTAGGAATCTTAATTGCTGATATTAATTGCTGTAAATGAATTCCTGCATGTTGAAGTCCAGAAAGTACAACAAAAATACGAAGAATATCGTTAGTTCCTTCAAAAATTCTAAAAATACGTAAATCTCGCATAACTCGTTCGAGACCTGTATCTTTCATATATGCCATTCCACCTAATATTTGCATAGTTTCGTCACAAACCCACCATGCAGCTTCTGATGCAAAACACTAAAATAATTATTTTAAAATAATAATATGAATTTTATTAAATTAATTTTTTTGAATTAATCTTACTTTAGAAATTGCAGCTTCTAAATAATAATCCTGACTTCCATTATCCATGTTACCCGCAATTGAATACGCAAGGCTTTCAGTTATATATTGTAACATTGCCATACGACCTAATTTTTCTTGGATACTTCCATAATAATCTATTGTATGCCCAAATTGTACTCGTTGTGTTGCATGTTCAACTGCTTTTTTAATACAATAACGCATAGTTCCAGAAAGAGCAGCAGCCATACCAAATCGACCATTATTTAAAACATTCATTGCAACCTAATAAAATACAAAATATTGAATATCTTTTAAATTTTTTATAATTTTTTATATAAATAAATTGATACCGAAAAACCTTGTCCTTCGCCCTTTATAATATTTTCTGCTGGTATTTTAACATTTTCAAAATGTACTTCTGTTGTATTACTACATTTAATACCCATTTTTTTTCTGGTGGTCCACTTATTACACCACCAAAAGATCTTTCAACAATAAATGCTGTAACTTTATCTTTAATTTTACCAGTTTTTGGATCTTGTACAGGAACTTGAGCAAAAACTGTCATTATTTCTGCTAAACCACCATTTGATATCCAAATTTTATTACCATTTAAAATATAATGTGAACCATCTGCAGATTTTATTGCACGAGAACGAATTGAACCAGCATCTGAACCACTACTTGGTTCTGTAAGACAAAATGCTGCATAATCGCCATTGCAAACTCTTGGAAGATATTTTTCTTTTTGTTCTGGTGTACCATATAAAAGTATTGCCTGTATAAATTAAATTAAAATAGTTGAATAATATTCATGTAAAATATTCAATTCTGTGTAATAAAAATATACCTTGAATCCTATACTTTGATGTGCACCTAAAGTGATACCAATACCTAAATCATTATATCCACATATTTCAACACATCTGCTATATTGAGTGTTATTTAATCCTAATCCACCATATTCCTGAGGAACTTGAAGACAAAATACTCCAAGTTCCCACATTGATTGTAAAGTTTTCTCATCTATTGATGCATTATCATCATTTTTCATTGGATCATTTACTTTCTTTAAACAAAGAATTAAACCAATTAAATAATAATCAATTAATAATAAATTGCAACTATAAATTTAAAAAAAAAGATTTTTCATTCATTCTTAAAATTTTATTACCTCAAAAAATTTTTCCATAGGATCAATTAATAATCTTAATGTATCATTTTGCTCTTCAGTTAACACTTTTGGAAATGGAAATATTTGACTAGTCTCCAATTGACTAATAAAAATATTTCTGACAAAAGATTGATATTTTAAAGCTGTATTTTTTTCTGTTTTTTCTTCTGTTATATTTTTTACAACAGCTTGAGTCGCTAAACATCTAAAACATATCACATTTTTAATAATTTTTTCAAATTAAATTGTAAATTTGATTGAATATTAAAAGTATTTTATAACTTTTTATATAAAATCTATATTTTTGTATTCAAAAATAAATCATTATTCATTTTTTTACATATTATATCAATATTTATTTCATTTTAAAAATAATTGTTCATAAATACATCACAATTTTATATATGCATCTTATATATATTATTTGAATTATATTATTTATTAATTATCAAATTATCATTATATCAATTTATACAAAATGTATAGTTTGCATATATGTATAAATATAATTGTTCAAAGTTCAAAATATATGCATATATATATATAACATATGTATAACATGCATATGTTCAAATAATACAAAAACAATATATTTTACTAAGCAAATATTTGAAATACGAATTTATAAATTCGTATATAATAATTTAATCAATAAAAATAATTTTTATTAATTATTTAAAAAATTAGAAATTTTAAATATCATTACACATATAAATAAAATACAATAATATTGTCAATTATTATGTGACATAAATTATACAAAAATAATAATAGTAAAATACTTTACCTTGTATTCAAGTTTATGATTTTGATAAAATTTTGCGATTTTAATCGAATATAATTTGTAATTCGTAGCATTTTTAAGATTTTATAATATACAAATTTGATGAAATATATATATATATATATAATAAAATGATTTTATAAATTTTTTTATATTTTAAAATAAAACTAAAATAAGTAAAAAAATAATATATTTTATATTTTTAAGA